GAACGATGGAAAAAACGAAAGAACTCTCGGTAAAACCGAAAGAACCCACGGCAAAACGAGAACTTCCCAAAACTGGCTTGTACGGGCCCTTAAATACCCCTTTTGCGTGTCTCCCTACTGCCTAGTTTTTGACTTGGTAGTAAGAGCCTTTCATAGTAGTGCGAGCCCTTCATGGAAGGAATTATTCTCGAAAATTCGCGGCGTACGTGAGCGATATGGATGCGGTTGAAAACTAATATTCAAAAAGTAAATAACTAGCCTGCTACCGGGGGCCCTCAAAAATAAATATTTACATATCTTTGGTTGAAATTTTCCGGACAGAAAGAACATTTGGTCAACCTTCGACGGAATTGGTCGCGGAATCCGGCCTGGAATTCAGCAATTGCTACAATCGCAAATCAATATGTTTTTATTGGGCCCTTGAAAATGCAAATTCACTTGTCATTGGTTTTAAATTAACCGGAAAGAAAGAGAATTTTAGTAACCTTTGTTACACACCCCTCCTTCTTCAGAAAAAAAAATTATCAATATTTATCCTATGAATATTTTTCCTTACGTGACGGTCGCAAAAGAGATAAACTGAAAACAATGCTTGTGATTAGTAACAAAATGGCTGCCCGGCGGACAGCATAAACGGAGCTCCTTTTGGATCTCGCCAAGCTCCTCGTCGACGAAGTTATGGGGCTCCATAACCGGAAAAGCTAAAGTAGAAACCAAAACGACAATTGTTATTGAAAAGCGGGCTTCAGGTTTGTTATGTGGAGCGGCGGTACTTTATCCCATTATCGTCCATCAGATCATACACCACTCGCGAAACAACCCGAGGCACGAACTTCGGAAATACTAGTGCCGTGATCTCGTTACAAGGCCTTTGGGGGATCTACCTCTCTTCCAAAACTTAGGAACGCGGGTGAAAATCCGGTGGAGTCGTGCCTGGAACTGTTGATGCCAAGTACGAGTTCAGACAAGTGAAATTGGGCAATCATGACTAATCGTTTTGTTAGTACGTTCTACTGGATTGGCCTGCGGAGTGTAGACTGGGGTCGGACGCTGGCTGATTCCCATATCCTTGCATATTAAAAGATTCTTCAAATGATAGAAATATTTCAGAAACTCAAGTGAATGTGTTACTTTCGCTCCTGTCTTGAGGCAAATAGTTTAAGGTGGTATTGGTGATTTTTGCAAAATATTTAATAAATCTGCGGTAGTAACCAGCTAAACCTAGAAATTCTTATTTCTTTCTGTATTTGAGGCAAAGAAAAGTGTTTTACGGCATCAGTTTTATCTGGATTAGGACCAACTCCTTTATTTGGTATTTTATGACCTAAGTAAGCAACTTCTTGATCTAGGAATTCGCTTTTATCAGGTTGGACTTTGAAATTTGACTGTCTTAATATTTCAAAAACCGATTTTAGTCTCTCGATATGTTCTTGTAAAAAGGTAGAGAAAATTATTACGTAGTCTAAGTAAACTAAACAAAATTAATTTTGAATTACTCTTATGACATTGTTCATTACGCGTTGAAATGTAAGCGGGGCATTTTTCAAACCAAAAGACATTCGAGTGAACCCGAAATGTCCTGTATCAGTAGAGAAAGCTGTTTTTGAATGTGTGAAGGTCCCATTTCTATTTCGTGGGGACCATTCGCAAGGTCGAGGGTAGTAAAATATTCTGTTTTACTTCATTTATCAAGTATCTCGCTGATGTTTGGCAAAGAAAATTTATCGTAATAATTTTGTCATTTAGTTTCCTATAATCAATCAGGATTTGCCATTTTTTCTTTTCTGAGGCGTCAAATTTTTTTGATACAACCCAAATTGGACTACGCCATGGAGAAATGGATTCCTGAATTATGCCGTTTTCAAAAATTTTGGAAATTTGTGAATTTACTTCTGTTTTATGTATGAATGTATAACGATAAGTTTTCGTGAAGATTGGTGTTTTGTCCGCTAAATTTCGTTTGTGTTTAACATGATTAGTGAAAGTCAGTGGCGTGTTTTTACAATAGAAAATAGCTCTATATTCAAAACATAGTTTTCGAATAGCTTTGTATGCTTCTTCGTTACAGTGTTTTAAACGTAGATTTTAAAATTTGCTTTTTGAAGATTGTCAGTTTGTTTATTGAAAGATGTTCGAGGGTTTTGGTCCAAAAAGTTATTTTCAGTTTCTTCAATTGGCTCTACATTTAGTGGAGAAGAAATTTGGATATTCACGGGATTTTCAGATGAATCCGTTATTACTGTTGTAACGGAAATGGTCTGGGGTGCTCACGTTTGGAATGGGGGGATCAAAATTAATGGTATTTCAGTAAATGGGAGTCCTATTTGCACCCTGTTTCGCACCTGTTCTGAAGATTTTGAGAACCATCTGGGTTACCTGTAGGAATCTATATAAGCGCCGAGGAGAACCAGACAGGGGGAGTAAAGTGACAGGAGCGACCGGGTGCAGAAGAGGTTAAACCCCGCGAGTCTAAAGAGCGAGTTTTCCGTGTGTTTTTGTTATTGTTTGTAAAGTTGACGGTAATTTTGAAGTTAGTTTGTTCCTGTTCCACATTTAAAGTTATACCGAGGTGAATAAAAGTTGGAAGCTGAAGAAAGAGTTTGATACCCGGCCATCCACGGTACACTGTCTTTGCACTGTAGTTAATGATTTTTTTCTTTCTACTGATGCTGCTGGCATTTCAGTTTTACCGATTTTTTTATATTCTAAGAAGTATTGACCGTTTTGTTTGTTGGCGGGAACTTTTACTCTTTGTGGTGTTCGCGGTAGTATTGTTTGATCAATTTTTGAACTTATCCGGCTGATTACGTTCAGTTGGCATTGTTTGATAATATAAGGGTAATCTGGCGTTTTCGGTTTGTAAACAGAAAACTTTTAAATTAATACTAGCCCCAATACTAGTTAGAAAGTCGATTCCTATCTTCGTGGAAAATCAAAAAGATAGAATTTGTGATGTTCGAGAAAATTAAAATATTCGAAAATTGCTAAATGCAGTATGTAATTGTGTATTGAAGTGGCATGTGCTGTTTTTACAAAGAATAATTCTGAACTACTAGTGTTTGGGGAAATTTGGCGAGTTAAATCAACAGTTTAAAAAAACTTCTGCCACAACCTGTGTCAATCAGAAAGTTTACATTAATTTCTGGAATATGTAAGATAGGTAATTGGTTCATTGAAATATTGTTGATCATTATTACGTTTTCTGGGGTGAAACCTGGGGTTTCTAAAAATTTTTACCATTATCGACATTGACTAAAATCATATGATCCTGAAATTGGTTGGTCTGTTGTCGATAACTGGTTCGTGCTCTAGAAGCAAAACACTCGGGCGACCATAAACTCCAGGAGCCCAATTCTCGAAACTGGGAGCGGCGATCGCATGAGAAAGAAGGGCGTGGTTCTCTCGTGAAGCGAATATTGGTATTCTTAAACGCGATCGAGTGATCCCATCACGCAACGGCAGTAGAACAAGCTTCTCTTGCCAAATCTCGCGGGAACGGATCGTTCACCGGTTTTATAACCACACACTACACAGATTTTGGCGTAGGTACCCGGTTTGAAAAGTG